TGAATGAACAATTGGTCACAGAAGACATCAAGGAGGAGATTAAAAAATCTCCATAATGCTTTCCATATTGGTTGCACCAATTTGCAGTTGCATAGATGTTTTCCAAGTTAGAGAATATCCTGTACCATAGAAACATTCTCAGTTAAGAAGTCTTAAAGTTTCCCAGATTTGTACATAGATGTATAAAACAGCTAAATTTGTAATATCTCCAAAGTGGAAAGAACACAAATATCCTTCAGCAGATGAATGGATGACAACATGCTGATCTTTATGTATGGCTGAATAGCATTCCGCAAAAGAAAGAAATGTTTTATTGATGCAAACACTGACATGATAAATGTCAAAATAAGTATGAGAGAGAAAGAAGTCAGATTTAATAAGAGTTCAGACTACTTGAGTTCACAGACTGGTAGAAAACTTTCTTTGGAGGGAGGATGTGTGGAAGAACGAAAGAGGTTACCCAGGAACAAGGGAACTCTGGGGGCTGAGGCATACGTTGCTCTCTAGATGGTGATGGTCTTTTTATGACTGTATGCATGTGTCCATGCTTATTAAATTGTACATTTTCAATGTTAACAATTCATTATATGTCAGTGCCCTACAAAAATTGCATTTAAAGCTAAGAAATTAAAATAAAGGTATTTTAACGCACTTCAATGACCTTTTTTAAAAACTTAGAGATATTTTAATAATTTTATGTCCATGTTTAAAAAGCCAGTATCTCATGTAATAATAGAATAAACTGAATTACATCAGGACATTTGACCAAGATTACCTGCCTATTTAGACTACCTTGACTTATGTCCAGGCATTGTGTCATATCATGGTTTTTTGTTTGTGGTTATGTCTCACTGCTCAGTGTTTGAACTCTCTGGAAATTGGAAATAAAATCTTCATTAAATGTGCTTATGTAGACAGAATAATGGTTCAAGATTGCAGAAGACATCTTCCAAGTATTTATTGGCCAAATGAATAACTTTATTAATTTTTAATATTGGTTTGATTTGCATGCAGTTTATCTTGTCTCTGTGTTCTGACATTGAGAGTACACAATACTTGGTGTCACTCTTAGGAAGAAAATCCTAAGAGATGTCCAGGTAATTATTTCCATGATTCATGTTCTGTTCAGAGCATAGAATAGAAAATTTCACCCAAGGGAAGGCTTCAGGTGGTAAATATAGGTCATGCTGAGGGAAAGCACTTCCACAGACACTGTCTCCATCCAACAATGGATGTCATCAGAAGAACATTTTAGAAGGCGAGAGAAAACCTAGTATTTAGTAAGTTATCTCAGCTCTCTGATTTTCTCCATTAAGATAACTCTTATAATATTTGTATGTGTCTATTTTAAGGATGCCCACTATGCCTCTGATCTTCCCAGAACTCAATTCATGGACTTTTCCCTTCTATCCTGCTCTTACTGGAATTTCTATGGTTTTAACAATAGTATACACAACACTAAGATGTTCTACCTCAGTGATGCTCTCAAGTCTGTGTAGGGAGATCATTCTTTTTTCTGCCTGCCAATCAATATGGGCTGCTTCTAGCTATCCTTGTTCTAATGATCCCTGGGTTTGAAGAGGATATATGTTTTTTTTTAATCAGAAAGATATATAAGTAATCATAGATATATAAGTAAAATGGATCACAAGTTTGAAGAAAAATGACATAAAATCTGGTCACTACAGACTGGAAAACAAAGGAAGGCATTAAGAGCTACTAAAAAATCCCTGTGTAGTGCAGCAACAACATATTAAATTGTCTAAGTCTTATTATATGCTTGCAAAAATACAAATATTGAAAATATCACACAGTTTAATACTATTTCTGTTAAAAAATCCCTATGGAAGGATATTACATTAGAAGGAATTAATTCTTTTATTGGTGTCTTTTAATACTCTCTAAAAGAGTAATTCAGTTTTTCTCCTTTGCCTAAATTTTCAATTTAATTAATTCCAGACCTAACATTAGGCCTTTTATGACAGTTATTTTAAAATGAGAATTCTAAAGATACTTTGTTAGAATATTCTATTCTCTTTGTTTCTGTAAGATGGGAATAATGGCTCCTGGGCAAGAAATGTAAAGGCAGAATGAGTTGCTATGTTCCTAGAGAACAAGGAGGTGTTGCATATGCATCTCCAGTGGTCACTGAATAGGTAGGTGAGTATCAGTTTAGACAAAAAGTCAATAGTAAGCCTTTAAAGAAAGGAAATTGTATATATTTTATTTACAGAAAGTGTTTAGCTCACCAATACAACTGTGGCCCATAGCTTTGAAACTGGGACTGTGTCAAAATTTACCACAAAGAATGGAGAAAGGAAGTAATTCTTTATTAACATATTCTGAGTTCTTGAAAAGGTTAAGGGTTTTCTGTATGGTTAAGGGTGTTTTTTTTACATAATTACACATTTTTTATTAATTAATTGTACTCATTTCTGAGGTAAGGAAATGGAAACAAAAAAATAGATTTAATACTAGGTCATAAGGTCAACAAGTATTGAAGTGGGACTTTCTTTAATCAGGTCTAAATTAAAACTCTGATGAGTTTTCTAATTCTCTTAAATGCTGGTTAATATTAATATAGTAATATAGCTAGTCCACTAGTGTTTTGAGTGATAGCAATTTTAATTTTTTAACAGAAAATAGCAATTACTTGATTTTTTTAACAAAAATGCTGTGTAATTTCTTTAAAAAGGTACATAGTCATCTTTTATCTCAAACATATTTAAAATCACTCTTTCTCCATTAACTATCACCTATGTAACTTATTTATCAGGTACAGAGTAGTTTTTGAAAATTTATCCTGGAAAATTTTGTGTCTACAGGAAATTAGCTTATGAGGATCAGATTGTTCATATTTTCAGGGGACATAAACCTATTATATTCCATATCAATGTATTGTCCTTAGAAATTAAATACATTTTTAATAAGAAGAAATTTTTATTTTCAAGCAAAAATACTATTATTATATGTTATTTTTCCATAGCAAATGTATATGTTATTTCATTTATATAGGAGAATTTTGTTTTTATTTTATCTTTGTCTATTTATCTTTTGTCTATTTATCTTATCTTTATCTATTTATCTTTGTCTTTTATCTTTGTCTCTGAGTTTTCAATAAAATGAAAGAGAAAAAAATTGCCAAAATATGTTATGGGTTTTATTACTCATGCACTCCTTGCCCCCACCGTAGAGACTGGATGGTATAAAAGAAATTAAAATGGGCTGGGGCTTGGCTCAGTGGAGAGTGCTTTCCTAGCATGTGTGAGGCACTGGATTCAATTCTCAGCACCACATATAAATAAATAAAATAAAAGTCCATTGACAACTGAAAAAAATATTAAAAAAAGGAAATTAAGACACACACTGAAACAATGCCAAAGGGAAGGAAAATGGATGATTATTTTCCACCACTCAGTTTAAGAAGTCTTGTCCATTTATTTAGAGATTAATATAAGCAACATCATTATACTTAAAGATGAATAATCAGTGCTTACTGAAAGTTTACATTCACTCAGTCATAGTCAATTCTCATTTTGCAAATAATATATCATTAGATGGATGGATGGATAGATAGATAAATAGATAAGACTTTGGGTGATGTTCATGATCAGGAGACTAAAATTTCAAAGCCTAGGTATCTTGTGTCCACGATATAATTGAAGACCAATATTTTGACAACCTAAAGTTTTATGAAATATTCAGAGTTCAAAATAGTTTAAATTAATTTAAACCTAATTTTTAGTGGCCTTCCACTTAGGTTACAAAATTTCTACATGAATCTACATTGATTATTTTCTGATCCATTCAGTTCACTAAACAAATTCTACTATGTTGCAGCTTTTAATTTATGATATATTGTACACCTGTTTTTGCCTCTAGATCATTATGCCAACATGTTCATTATTTGGCTTTCGAGGTATTTATTATAAGACCTTTTCTTATAAAGGTTTTCACAACTTATTTTAAATGTATATGTTAAAAATTTAATTTTATGATGTCATATAGAAGAGGTTTCATGGAGGGTTGAAGTAATTATTATGCCTAATATGAAGAAATGGTAATTTTGCATCATTTTTAACTATGCTGAATTCAATGCAAGTTTACTGTCATCTTCTAAAATAAATGACTTCATTTTTGTTATTTAGTATAATGATTGTTACTAACATGCTCAGCTTTGTTTTTGTTTTTTTTAATGGGGACTGAAGCTACTTTCAGGTGAAGTCATAATTACTATCTAATCTTTCAACTTTGCTGTCCACTTTCTTCATTACTTTCTTGTGAAAGAACTCTCTCAGTAGGTTATTTGCAATATAAACCCCATCTCATGTCCTGTGTCTTTGAATGTTAGCTAACTTTGCTTTGGGGGATAATGCTATTTGGGCCAAGATTTCTCTTCCTCGTTATTTTTTTTTTCAATTTCAGATTTAGATGTTAAATTTCAATGTAAATGTTAAATTCTAAATATAAAGTGCCCTTTCTCAATCTTGCTAATTAAAAATCTTTTGTTCTTTCCAGGTTATTTTAGAGGATGTGATAAATAAAATGGATGGAGGAAATCAGTCTGAAGTTTCAGAATTTTTGCTTCTTGGACTTGGCCACTCATGGAATGTGGAGGTCTTACTCTTCATAATATTTTTGATGCTTTACCTGATCATAGTCTCTGGGAATATCATCATTATGATATTAATAATCACTGACCCTCATCTCCATTCCCCCATGTATTTCTTATTAGCTAATCTGTCTTTTCTTGATATGTGGCTTTCCTCAATCACCACTCCTAAGATGATCACAGACTGTCTGAGAGAGAACAAGACCATTTCTTTTGGAGGTTGCATGTGCCAGATTCTTTTTGTGCATATTTGTGGAGGGGGTGAAATGGTGCTTCTTGTGGCCATGGCCTATGACCGTTATGTGGCCATCTGCAAACCACTCTACTACTCCACCATTATGAGTCTGCAAAGGTGCATTGGGATGGTATTGACATCCTGGACTGTTGGCTTTGTGCATGCCATGAGCCAAATGGCTGTGGTTATACAGCTGCCTTTCTGTGGTCCCAGGGAAATAGACAGCTTTTTCTGTGACATACCGCTGGTGATCAAGCTAGCCTGTGTAGAATCTGATAATTTGAACATTTTAATTAATATTGATACAGGAGTTGTTACTGTAACCAGCTTTATTTTGTTGCTGATATCATACACATATATTCTT